TGTAGTGGTGGTGGCCGAACCTGCATTGCTGGTTGGTGCTGTAATGCCTTTGCGCCGACACGTCTGTTCTCGAGGAAGACACCTCTGTCTCGGTCACGGGGTTGACGTCTGGGACGGTGACGGCTGTGACGAGGCCGGGCGTGAAGACTTGGGCTTCCTGCTTGAAAACAAAATGCGACTGAAGGTCTGGCTGTGGCCAATGAGAATCTACGTCAGAGGGCTGACGATCAGGAGGGCGTCTTTGGTGAGCACGAGTTCGACTGTCACTGACAACGGCGCCGAAGAATGTGGAGCAAGAGGCGTTGTTGATGTGGCGCGCCGTACTGTAAGTCGTATCCAAGACGACCAGTTTCTTGATCAGGGTATCCGAAAGTAGCCCCAGGCGCCGAAGTCGCCGAGCAGCTTGCACGAATCCCTCAACGTGTGAGCCCAAATTGTGCGACACATGCCGGAGGAACACACCATCCAACTCGTAGACCGGCAGGTGCGCCGCCAGTGGAGAAGTCGCGGCAGACATGAGAGACAGAACGTGGGACTATAAGGCTACTCATGTGAAAATCGTGTGGTCTTACAACCTGGCCGATGCTGATGCAGCCCGTTTGCGCGGGCTGGACCTTGAGTCAAACATGGCTACGGATCCCCCTCCTCCTCATCCTCCTGGGGGGGGGGAGAGCATCGGCAGGCCCGAAGCGCAAGAAAGGGCTTGAATGGGGCTCAAAGGGGGCGCTAGTGGATCCCGAAGGCTCTGGGGGACAGACGAGCAGCGGGCGCCAACGATAAACAAGGCCCCCCCCACTGGGGGACCTGCTCGCGCTCGAGGAAGACTCCGGAGAACAGCGCAGAGATCTGCTCGCTGTCGAGCTGCATGGACCGCCCAGTCCCGGGCAGCTGCCAGCCGTAGTACCACACGCGGTAGCGCTTGGAGACGTGGCTGTTCAAATGCTCTGCGAGGCGGCCGCTGTTCGTGAAGAGCATGAGACCTCAGACCCAGGCGCAGTGAAAAGATCATGGCGGGCGCCTTTGCTCGGCGTTGGGCCCCCATGACCCTCACGGGTGCAGCGTGTTTCGACACGTGCCGCACAAAAGACGGTGTCGGGAGCTCTCATCGTGATCTGTCCACGGCGCTGCAGCACTTTTTACGACGTCGGATCTCAGGGATCCTCTCGATCCTCGCATCTCTATGTTCATCTATATATATATATATATGATCGAGCTTCCTCCTCCTTCTCCTTGTCCTCTTGCTCGACATTTGAACCTCCTCATCGAAGGCCTGTCGTGTTCTTGTCCAACTGCCCCACTGGCTTCAGAACGTGCAGCGCCTCCTCGCTCATGGCCCGCGCGACCTTGCCCATGCCTCCGTGGACCAAGTCCGTCACCATGGGCTTCGGCTTGAAGAACGCGAAGACATCGGCATCACCGCCCTTCCAATCTCTCGCGATGGACGCGGAAGATGCGTTCCCTCCATCAGGGCAAGTGGTCTACGGGGAGGGAGGAGGAGGACCAGGATAAGGAGGAAGATGGCGGAGAGGAGGAGGACGAGGAGGAGGAAGACCTCTCATCCTCCTTCCTCCTCCATCGCACCCACCTCCTCCAGCTCGCGCAGGGGGAGGAGCCTGAGGGATAATGCAGAGGATGAGAAGGGGGAGGGTGCTCGAGTAAGAAAAAACCTCTTCGGTCCTCGGCGTCCTGGGATCCCCTAGTTCCCCCGAAGCTGATTGCGCCTCCCACCCCGCGCTCAGACGCCGTGAACAACACACTTGTGCGAAGCATCGTGACCAGAGTACCCGTAATTGGGAAGAAACGTTCGTAGAGATCTGTTCACGACGCCCAGAAATATGTTGGTAAGGACACAGTGTAAAACCAAATGTGCATCACCTCGTGCTCCGCAACCGTTTGTGCTCGAAGGGGCCCCTTAGCCGCCTTCAGGGGGGTATCATTATCCCTTGCGAGCTCCAGAGAGCTTGCCATCATAGATATCCATAGATTTCCCAAGGGAGCTGGTACACTAAACAATTCCATGTCATCGCTACTACTGCTTGCTCTCTAGAGTACACCAGCCGGAACCGAGACGTGGCCTGGTTCCTGCTGCTGTAGAAGGAGCCAGACCCACGGATCTCATCCTGATCGTGATGGAGGCTTCCCATGGACGCCTCGCAAATGGCGTCCGAGCAGATGGGGTGGAAGGATCGCGCAGCCTCGCCGACGCATCGCCGATATATCCGCGACGTCGGCGTAGAGAAAATCGGGCTCCACATCGAGCCGCATCACCGGTGCACTGGCGCGATCTTCCGACCCCGTCCACTCTTGGCATGAGGGGTCCTGGATACTGGGCGTTTCCCAGGGACCACTTCTTCTCCCTGAGTCGTTTTCTGACAACCCTGAGAATTCCCAGAGATCCGATGTATAATTCGCTCCAGCAAGTGGTCCCGAAGCCCGGAAGTCCCGACCCTTTGCATGGAGAGACGCTCTTCGACGATCCTGGGGCCTGGGAGAGGGCCCCCAGGTGCCGAAGACTGGGAAAACGCATTGGATTGTCTAATGTGTTGGAAGCCTGAGACTTATTCGCAGCGATCGCTCGGATCCCAGTTGTGAAAGGGGCCCAGGGCCCAGGGACACGCAAATCAATACACACAAATCCGCAAATCTCCCATACATTATTGTATATTCTGGATTATCATCTTCCCCCCCACTGCCTATATTTTCTCATATTTTCAAGGGAGTCGACGACTAATTGTGTCTGTGTGTTCTTCTCCCCTGAATTTGGGGAGGCTGAGATCCCCGCCGGCACCCCTTCCTGCTGATGGAGGCTTACCCTAGGCGCCTCCCACATGGGTTCCGACCAGGTGGGCTGGGAGGATCGCGCAGCATCGACGATGCATTGGCGACGCCGGCGTGGAGACAATCGGGCTCCACGTGGCACCGCATGGCCGATGCATCGGCAATACGGCGCGATCCTCCGACCTCACTCGGAGAAACAGCACAAGCATAAGCTCTTGGCGTTCCGCGCGGAGCTCTTGGATCCGAGCCGGGCCCCCCAGGGCGGGGACCCAGCGCGGAGCCAAGAAATCTGCGCGGAACGCCAGACGTTCATGCTCATGCCGTTCTTCTTCTTCGCCTCGTCCACACGTCCGCTCAGCCGCTCGGATCCCATTTGGGGGGGGTGCCGGGATCCCCGCCGGCCCCCGCCCGACGTCAGCAGCACGGGGCGGCCCTGCGCGGGACCGCCGGGCCCCTCCGCAGCACCGCCGTCGGCGCGGCTCACGGGCTGCAGCAGAGCCAGGCACGCCTCCGCCGCCACCCGCATGGCGCGCGCGCGCTGCTGCAAGCCCGAACGGGCGAGTGCCCTCCAGGCCGACGACTGCCTGGCAGGCACGAGCCTGGCTCGAATCGCGAAGTCGGATCGGATCGGGCCCGAGTCTGATCGCAGATGGATCGTCCAGAGCTGGGTGGAAGTCGGACCGCCACACCCGGCTCCAGCTGGGCACGGCACAATGCTGGTGAGACGAGCCGAGTCGAATCGGAATCGCGGCCCCAGCTGGCGAATCGAACCGCGTCGAATTGGGCCGTTGGCGGGCATGCCTGGGGAACAAGCGACCCTGCACGTCAACGAAGCGACCTGCACACGCATTGATCAGGAGTGATTGGGATGCTTGTGTGTCATGGGGCCACATGGCGGGAAAAGTCCAGTTGTGGCGATGACGCTCTACACAGCGACCTCCGGCCCCTCAGAGCTTCGGAGAAGCCCGCCTGCCACGCTCGGTGGTTGTCTGCATCAGCAGCATGTCCACCTCCTTTGGCAGCATGCCCCCGTCCTTGCGGAGCGCCGCCAGCTCCTCGGCGCTCATGGTGTTGCGGCGGTTGTTGGCGAGCCCGAATGCGACCCGCTGCTGCCCCCAGTCGAACACCGTGTAGTAGCGATGCAGCACGGGCTCCCCGAGGATGAACAACTTCGGGCCGAGGGGCGCCGGCAATCGCACGGGCATGAGGCGCGGCCGGCAGTAGCGCCGCACCTCGTCCTCCTCCGCGGTGCCGTTCGAGGAGGCATTGGATGTGGCGTCACCAGTCACGTTCTCGCTGGCGTTCACGCCGACAGACCGGCTCCCGTTGCCAGTCACGTTTGCCTCGGGCACAGCGTCCGCCGAGGATCGGTGCTCCAGGGTCGCGTTCGTCTCGTTCGAGGGTATGTATACGCCCTGCTTGGAGCCGACCGTCACGCCCTCGCGGAGCGGAAGCCGTCGCATGTAGTTGAAGGAGTGCAGCGTTAGGTTGTAGCCTTCAACCTCGATTTCAATCGCTGGCGACTCTGCGAGGCGACAATCCTTCAGCTGCCCCGCTGGGGTGGTGAGCAGGTCGGCCACCTCTGCGTCGTAGGGCGCAGGGACGCCCAGGTGCGAGGTACCAGTATCCACCACGCCGTGGCAAGTACCATCCTTGCACACGTCCAGCTCCTGGCCGTTGATGCGGACGGCGACGATCCTGACCAACCAGTACCCCATGTCGGCCATCACGACCGGCGCCCATGTCAACGGCTCGAGCACGCGCTCTGGGTTGTGCCCGCCCATTGCAATCTCGTTGTCCTCGCCGTCCTCGCCCTCGGTCAGGAAGACGCCAAAGTGCGGCCGCTCGACCTTCCTCTCGCCCATGAGGACGTCGACGACACTGAATTGATCGTTGAGCGCGAGCCCGTCCAGACTCAGTCCGAGGATCCCATCGAAGAGGAAGGACTTGAACGGATGCGTGGACATCTCAACAGCGAGCACCACCTGCATGTCCACGCACAGCGAGCCTGGCGGGTGCTCGATCTCTGCGCGAGCAGCGAGCGCTGCCCTTTCGGCCTCACTCCTCGTGTCATTGTGCACGGGCTCCTTGTGCTCGCCCGCATCCTCCTCTAGGGGAACGAAGATTAACATAGAAACTCGGAGGTCCGCGCGGATTTCTCGGATCCGCGCTGGACCCCCCTCCCTGGCGCGCGGTGCGCGCCAGGGGCTTCGCCGGAGGTGCCGCCAGGGGGCGCCATCGCTGAACCGAGAAGTCCGCGCGGACCTCCGAGCTTTTATGTTTATGTCATTCTTCGTTCCCCTATCCTCGTCGTCGTCCTCGTCCGCGTCTGCGCCTGCGTCTCCGTCCGCGCCTGCATCTGCCTCCGCGCCCTCGCCAGCAGCCGCGTCCACGCCCGCGCCCGCGGGGGCGTCCGGCCCAGCAGCGGCCGCCACTGCGTGGGCCGCCGTGCGGCCGGCCGTCTCGGTGGCAGAATGGGCTTCGTTCAGCTCGGTGTCTGTCTGGCTCATGGGGGAATGAAAAATCACAGAAGCATAAAAACTCGGAGGTCCGCGCGGATCTCTCGCATCGGCGCTGGGGCCCCCTGGCGGCGCCTTCGGCGCCGCCCCTGGCGCGCGGAGCGCGCCAGGGACGGGGGCCCCGCGCGGATCCGAGAACTAGCCGCGCGGACCTCCGAGTTATTTTTCACGTTCGTGCCACTCTTCGCCCCCCCTGGCTCAGGACGATCAGATCGCCAGCCGACGTCCCCGGGCCCACGTCTCCATCAGCAGCAGCAGCCTCGGCGGCTGCCGCCTCGGAGGCCCCCGCGCCCTGGCGCAGGGCCGGCGCCTCGGCGCGAGCCTCGGCATCCGCCTCCTCGCGGGCCGCAGCCTCGGCCGCCTCGGCCTCCGCCGCTTCCCGGGCCCGGGCCGCAGCAACGGCCTTGCTCTCGGCGTCGGCACGGGCCTTCGCCACGTAGTCGTCGGGCAGACTGAAGCACACCGTGTCTTTCACAAACTCGCCCGTGATCTCCCCCGTGCCGAAGCCTATGGTGACCTGGTCGCACAGCTGGCCGGCTGGGACCACGGAGCCGTCCGTGTTGATGGGCAGCGAGGTGCTCGAGTTTCTCATGTCGTAGCGCCTGTGGACCAAACACGACTCGCTCTTGCATTCTGCAGCTGGCAGAACGACGTGGGCAGAGCCCGTGTCAAACACCACACGGAACTCTTGGGGAGGGTTGCCCACCTGCAGGACCCCGGAGTACGAGGTCTTGAATGAGGCAACCTTGCCACGGCGATAGATGGGCACCGACTCGCGGCGAAGGTTGATCATAGGGGAACGAAAAATGATATAAACATAAAAACTTGGAATTCCGCGCGGATTTCTCGGATCCGCGCTGGACCCCCCTCCCCAGCGAGCAGAGCGCGCCAGGGGCGTCGCCGGAGGTGCCGCCAGGGGGCCCCAGCGCCGATCCGAGAAGTCCGTGCAGACATCCGAGTTTCTTTTTATGTTTATGTCATTGTTCGTTCCCCTAGATAAGGTGAGGATTGCCCCCATCGTCTGGCAGCACCTTGCCCAGCAGTGCCCCAGGCGTCTGCAGCAAGCTCATGCCCTCAGTGGCGGCGCCCGCGCGCTCCTCTGGGAATGCACCGTGGCCGACGCGCTCCGCTCCCGCGGCGAACAGCGCCGCGAAGGTCAGCAGGGTGCCAAACGGGTGGGCCCACTGGGCGGGAACGCGGCCGGACGAGGTATTGGCGGAAGCCGCCATGCTTGCTGTTAGTATGAAGAAGAACACGGTGGGGGCATTGGATAAGGAACTCCTAGATAAGGAATCCACGGTAGAAAGGCCGGTGAAACTCCAATCGGAGCTTGGCCATGGATACCACAACAGCCCTCTTCAGAGAAGGAATCCTCCAGGATCTGCAGCCTCCTGGGAGCATTCCTTAACCAACGCCCCCACCGCAAATGAACGCCGGCAAAGATGACCTGGCGCTAAACTGCGCTACCGATTGGGCTATCTGGTTATACTCTGTAATAGAAGAGGAAGTCGTGAACCAAGCGCGAAGCTGGAGCCAAATATGCTGTGAGTGTGCCATAGTGGGCCCAAATTAGTGCTTAGAAATGCGAAATCTTCGTGAGGAGCGGACGGGATTCAAATCAACAAGTATGCTTCAAGCGACTCTGTCGCAGCAGCCAAAGAGTATCCGTCACTGTGCCGTACGCGCCGTATGGAAAATCGCCAGGCTCCTCAGAACCATCGAACTGTGAAACTGTAAGCACCTTCGAATCCAAATGCCCCAGATTTTGAGAACTTCTGGGTGTGTCTGGGCGCTTCTGACATGACTCATCTTGTGCGCCCCTTTGGCCGTCTTGCAAGCCTTGGGGGCCAGTCCAAGAGGCTCAAGCAAGTGAAACATCACAAGTTGTTGCATCAGTTTCGGACTCTCGTTCGGCCTTGAAGAAAGCCTCCATGGGTAAACCAGGTTCCAAACATCGAGTCACGATGGCCCCCGAGGCCACCAAGAGGGGCTCATGTCCCTAAGACGCCGAAAAAAGGACAACAAAAACGCATCACCGCCGGACCGCTGGAAGCCTCCCCTCACAGATAGGCCCTAGACCCACTAGATGCCCCGAAAAAACTCCGAAGAGGCCCCCAAGAGGCCTCAAGAGGCTCCGCAAAAGACCCCCCGAAGCCCCGAAGGGGCCGCTAGGAGAGACTCCCCGAGCGACCCGAACAGGCGTAGAAAATGCCTCTGGCCCAGAACCCAAGCACGAATGTGCGTTGGGCCGATGGCCATGCTCTTAGACACGCTAACCTGGCGTATGGTTGCCTGGGGCCGAAGTCAAGACTCATTCTGAGGCAACAGCATATGCCAAGATAGGCTGAGCTAGGATGAAAGACACGGCTAGACCAGACTTGACTAGAGTGGGGGGGATGAGTTGGTGGTGGTGTGCAACATGTAGAACATGCCAAGCATGATAGACTAGGCTGAGGCAGACAGCACAAAACAAAAAGCTGGTACGGGACTATAGATGCGAACCTCATGTGTGGCACAAGCGGAGCTCCAGGCCGACACAACAGATGATAATCTAGACTACAGAAGATCTGCTTCGAAATGCCACTCGGCGCTAAACTACGCTTGTTCGGGCTGGCTAGATTCAACCAAGAGAAAAGAGGCGCAGTGAGATACGATGAACTAAGCCAACACTGTCAGGGACGGGCTACGTAAGACAGCACAGGCTATGCCAACTCAGACCCAGCCAGCCCAAACCAGGGTAATGCCATCCGCGCCCAAACAAGCCGAGCCAACGGAGACACTGCGCAACTTCCAGAAGCATATTCCAGCAAACGCAACTTTTGGAGAGAGGTAGGGGGATGCTGCAGCTTCCAGGAACAAGGAACCACATATCAGTCCTAAACCACGGCAGGCTGATATAGGCCAGGCCAGGCCAGACCACGCCGAGAAGCAACACTATAGTAATGCCTAGGCCAGGCTGCCAAGGTGAATCTCGTACGAGCTGACTTGAGCTAGGTATGACGGTGCATAAGACCATCGGTACCGCTCGATCCTGAGGCGTTGCAGAACCTAGAGCACGATAGCGCTGCAGCAAGCGCCACATCAGGCTGCCATGCCAGAGGAATAGCTCAATCCAGCTGTAAAACTAAGGCAATGGCTGCGATGCCGACACGAACCAGACATGAGAACACAACCTAATTACAAACAACATGATTGGCTAAGTTCGGCCGGGATGGGCTAGACAGGGCAACGACAAACTACAGAGCGCCAAATAATTCCAACCGAAGCAAGCCCTCGCTGGGACTGAACGGAGCTAGGCTCATCCAACCTCCAGTGATCATCACATGCATGTACACGTACACGAAAACTCACATGGCATGAAAAGAGCTACTCAATCACATGTGTATGGAGATGTATTGCTACTCGGACTAAGCGGCCTCTTGGTCACAGGAGCAATAAGCGCAAGCCGTGGTCATATGACTAAGCATATGCACAAGCTGTCATGAATCGCATGTCGTGGCGGGATGCTCGCCGCCCGAATCTCTCTCGCAACATTCACTATACAATCGCCCCGGCTCGTGGAACGAACTCAGCAAAGCCTGCCACTCACAAACGAACTGTCCTTCGTCCTCCCTCGCTCCTGACCCCCTTCCCCCCGACGTCGCCATCCAGGCCTGGAGGCTGCTGTCCACCCTCAGGCCGCGCACGTGCTCGAAGAACAGCAGGCACTCACCGCCGCCACCAGCTCCGTGGCCCGCCCCCTCCCGCGAGAAGTCTCTCGCGCTGGTCGACTGTCTTATGAGGCCGCTCAGGAACTCCACCCGATCGTCAGGCTGTACCTGTCGGCTACACGCAGGGGTGACCCTGGGTAAGGGTGACCTTTGGTGCGCAACTTTGGGGGGGCCGCGAGGGGGGCCAAAGACAAGCGCGCCAGTCGCTACTACCGCATCCCATTCGGCGAGCTCTGGTGCACGGTTTCCCCCTGGGCCGTAGGCGACCCGAAGGGGAGGAGGAAAAGGAGGAGGAGGAGGAGGTGGAGGAGTGGGAGGGGAGGAGGAGGAGGATGAGCAGGAGGAGGAGGAGGAGGAGGAGGAGGAGGAGGAGGAGGAGGAGGAGGAGGAGGAGGAGGAGGAGGACGGGTCGCCAAAGCCATTCGGAGAAACCCTCCAATCTCTGGGGCCCGGTGAGCCCGTACCAAAGGTCACTCCTGCGAAGGGTCACTCTTACGTCTAGTCGGTGCCTGCGCGGGCCTGCTGACGCAGCCGCCTCCCATCGCCAGCGCGCGCGAGAGGCCCGCCTCTCCCTCTCATCTAGAGAAGGGAGAGGAGGAGGAAGGAGGAGGAACAGGAGCAGGAGCAGGAGGAGGAGGAGGCGGAGGAGGAGGAGGAGGAGGACGAGGAGGAGGTAGAAGAGGAGGTAGAAGAGGAGGAGGAGGAGGAGGAGAGGAGGAGAGGAGGAGGAGGAGGAGGGAGGAGAGGAGGAGGCGGTAGAGGATGATGTGATGATGATGATGATGATGATGATGATGATGATGATGATGATGATGATGCTGATGATGAGGAGGAGGAGGAGGAGGAGGAGGAGGAGGGGGAGGAGGAGGAGGTGGAGGAGGAGGAGGAGGAGGAGAGAGGGAGGATGAGGAGGAGTAGGAAGAGGAAGGATGAGAGAGGGAGGAGGACGAGGAGGAGGAGGAGGAGGAAGAAGAAGAAGAGTAGTAGGAGGAGGAGGAGGAGGAGGAGGAGGAGGAGGAGGGAGGAGGGAGGAGGATGAGAAAGAGGGAGGAGGAGGAAGAGGAGGAGCCTCGAGGGCCGGATCTCGAGCCGCTCTGCGGCCTGGGGGGTGCAGTGAAGCTGGCGCGACTGCGCGCACCCGTCTGGTTGCCCTTCGCTTTCCCCAGCTGTCCCTGCCTTACGAGGCCGTTTAGATGGGGTCCGAGTAGATGGGGTCGGAGGATCGCATCGCATCGCCGATGCATCTGCGGTGAATCGGCGATGCATCGGCGATGCACCGGCAACGTCGGCGATGCACTGGCGACGTCGGCGTGGAGAACACTTGGCTCCGCATCGCGCCGCACTGGCGATGCATCGGCGATGCGGCGCGATCCTCCGACCCCACCTACTCAAACCCCATCTGAGAGGCCTAGATGCTTGGTCCGAGACGCCCGTCCAAGCCTGCAATCGCACTGCCGACAACGTCTACAAATGCTGCCTTGCTTGTGCGGCCTCGGGCTCCATGCTCCGCGCGGGAGAGCCTCTCCTCACCGCTGATTTCGCAAACGGACCACAGCAGGTTAGTGGTTCAGATTATCGCAGCGAACTTACTTTGAGTGCGCACTTGCCCAGCGGGATTTAAGCCCAGGGTGGCCACGATCGGGGTTTCCTGCGATACATGCGGGCCCGCATGCGATACACGAACAGAGAGCTAACACCTTTGCCCCG